GAGGTGGGCTTTAAAATTTTTTTTTTTTTTTTTGTTTTTTTTTTTTTTTTTTTTTTTTTTTTTTTTCCTTTTTAATCAACGACATTGTTGTCACTTTTCACCAATCAATACGTATTATCTTCTATGCTAAATGGATGTCACAATATAGACTGCATAACTCCCAAGTCTTCCAACACCTCATTAAGTCGTAACGCTACCTTAACGATGTATGTAACGGAGATATACTCTGCCCGTGCAGCAGGCAAAGCCACCGTTGACTTGATCGTTCTAATGAGTCGTTGTTTTAATTTTCTTGTCGTTTTATGAGATTGCCACTTTCTTTTTTCCGGCCGTTTTCTGTTTTCGCCTTTTTTGTGGTTTTCGTTGTTCTAACAAGTTGGCGAGTATTTATCTTTTTTTTTTTATATATATATATATATTTTAGTGTCGTTTTCAGATTACAAGTTTTTGGTGTCTTTGGATTTTTTTTTTTACAGTCTTTTTCATATAATTTGGTGACATTTTCTTGATTTTTGTCGTTTCAGGTTACCTTCTGGCGTAGTGTCGTTTTCAATTTTGTTGTTCTGTTATTTCCACTTTTTTATTTTTTGTCGGTTGCATGATTATTGTCATTTGAGGTGATCGACGATTTGGTTATTGTCGTTTTTTATGGTCGTTTCTCAATTTTGTTGTCAATTTCGTGATTATTGTCGTTTCGGCAGATGCCTTTTTTTTAGTTACCATCAGACTTTTGTTTTTAACTTTTATTGGTTATTTTTTGTTTTGTTATCATCTTGATGATTGTTGTCCTTATAATAATTGCCGTTTCGGTGACCTCTTGTTTGTTTTTGTCGTTTATCATTTTGTGTCGTTTTCGTGATTTTGGTCTTTTCATGCGACTTGTTTTTAATAAAGATTAATTTTAAAAATTTCCCCTGAACTATGACCATTGTAACACTTTACCCTCCGAATTTTCAAACGTAACATCCGCTTCTCCCGAACTTTGTTCAATTAACAAGTTTTCCTCTTCTGTTACAATGAGTGAGGAAATTCGCAACGTGTAAGGTACATGACCCATCTGAGGAGGGTATTATCGTAAAATACTCTGCAAAAACCTCAGGTTTTTAAAAAAGGGATTAAAAAACTCAAATGTTAGGGTTAGATGTTTTCCCCCAAAAAGAAAAATTAGAGAAATAAAATCAATCTTCATTGTAAATTTATTGTTGAATCACTCCTAATGGCTGCAACATGGGGAAATATTGGTGATTTTTATTTCCATCTCAGTTTCTACACTCTTCTTTCCAAATGCCTCCTTCAACTTCATAATTTCTTCATCCAAGCTATTTTTTGGTTCAACTTGTCAAGCCTTTCGTCTAATTATGGAACCACATCTCTTGCACTGAAATCTAATTCTGGAACTAGCTCTCTTGCACGGAAATTTTCTCCACTATCAAGCCACTTTCCAAATCCACAGCCTCTCTCCTCTTCATTCTGCATTCAAGCATAAAATGAAGGATTATTTTTAAAAATTTCTCCCAAACTAAAACATAATCAACCCACAACCCCAATCAAACTCAAATTAACTAGATTCAACCCAAATCTACAAAAGCTTTGTTGTCCAACGTTAAACGATTTACCTTATACCAAATGCAACCATCAAATCGTCTTCTCAGATTCTTCTTCGTGTGCGATGTCTTCACTAACGAATCCAACCCACATCGACGTCGAATTGGACCTCAAATTTCTTCCATCATCTAGCCGCTGCCACCACTATTTGTACTGAAGGAACTTGCCATGGATGAACGAGGTGAGAAAAAAAAAACTGGTTTTTGGGAACGAAGATGGTGAACTCTGTCGATTAATCCATGAGATCTAATCTAATTAGGAGGATATAAGCGTAATTGCACTTTCAAATCTCACTAAATAAGTGACACATGACAATTCCGTCACTCATTGTAACATAAGGGTAAAACTTGTTAACAGAACAAAGTTCGGAAGATCAAATGTTACGTTTTAAAATTCGAAGGATAAAGTGTTACAAGAGTTATAGTTCAGAGATAATTTTTGAAATTAATCCTTTTAATAATATTATTGCTCCTCTTAGTTTTTATGTCCTTTCCATATTGTTGTCGTTTTTACGATTATTCTTGTCACATTCTTTCTTTTTAAATTGTTAACGTCGTTTTATGATGGTCAAACCTCTGTAATCTGATGATTGTCGTTTTTGTTTTCTACTGTTGTTTGAGGTAAATGTCTTTCTCGGAAACCGGAAGTTAATCGATAGAACAGAGCTCACACATGCAGTCAACTTCAATGGCTTCCTCTAAGACGGAAGCAGTATATTTGCCTTGTGTCTAGTGTCTACACAGACAAGTATTTAAGTGAAATAGCAGATGTGCAGTTAAACAGAAGGATCATGGCTTATAGTATAAGAAAAAGAAACACAAGTCATCCCCATTTTGACAATAGAAACACGTTTCCTACTTTAAATTTCTCTATGAATTAATTTGGATATAACTAAACTTTCAATAAGATTGACACATTCCATACTGCAGAGACAGAAGAAAGCACACATAAAAGTATGTTGAAGTTGACATAAGATTGCAAACATGCTTTAAGAATGTGTTTGGTAAGGGAGACAACATAGGATGGAAGGAAAAGTATATAATCTAGTAGGGAATGGGGAGGGAGGGGAGAACCTTTTCTCTTGCTGTGTTTGGTATGGATCTACTCCAATCTTTTCAACTACATAAAGATAAAAATTAGAGTCCCGTGGAGGATTTTTAATCCCTTGCCTGACCCATTTGCTCCTCCTCTAACCTCTCCTACCAAACAATATTAAGTCTCAAAATCCATCCACTTATCCTCCCATTCCTAACCCTTTTACCACTTTTACTCCAACCAGACGAGGCATAAAAGCATTCTTCATCGGTCAGAGGAACCGAGGCTGCGACATGCTTTAGCAAGGGGAACGGGAGGATCTGTCAAAAATCCATCCAGAATACGGTTGGCTATCCATTTATTTGCAGCCTCCGTGTAGTGTATGCCATCCCAGCTAATGCACTTTGAAGGGTCAGTGCAAGAAGTGGCAAAAATTTCAGTTCCATTTACTATTTTCGTCGTCCAACATCGAAGACCAGAATCCCCAGAGTCGCCACAACATTGCCCAAGAGGATTAATGAAACCTGCAATACCCAAATTATCTAGAGATGAGAAAAACTTTCATGTTTTTCTAAATCGCTCTTTTGCTAATCTATTCATTCAAGAAGAAGTATGACATGATAAAGTTATTACCATATCTGCTTGCTTCACTGATTAGAGAATATTTGGCTGAGAAGATATCAACATAAAAAAGAGCTGCACCAGAGAGCTGAGTCCTCAGTTTAGAAACCTGCTCTTTGAGCTGTTTGTTGAATTCTATAGCCACCTCATTGTAGGACTTTACGCAGCCATTTCGATCAGCATCTTCGGGCCTCGGTGGATAGGTTACAACAAAAAACGGCAAGCAGCCAATGGGACCGGTGTTATGTATCCAAAATACTCTTGCTCCTCTTTGGTAGAGCTTCTAAATCAGTTTCACAAAAGGGAAAACTTTATCGAGAATACAAAAGAGAGATAACTGATGGTACTTGAATGATACACTTAAAGATACAGTTTTTGCAGTTTTAATTTTGAGAAAATTGTACTGATCGCATTAGCAGTAAAGAACATACAAAATAAAGGCCTTTCAATAAACAGAGAGTCAATGCAACGTGAGATTATTTGTTTGTTTGGTGTGAACATTCTTCTCTACGGTCCACCATTTTCAATATACCTAAAGCTTTGATTAAAGTACTAGAAGAAATTTTTTAGGGAAAAAAAAATGATGGTGGATGCAACCTTTTTTTTTTTTTTTTCATTCTTAGAAACCATAACTTGCTATAGTGCAGTTTGGTACGTGGGGCTAGGTTGTTGTGAAAAGTTATGCTAAAGGGACAAAAAAACTACCTCTATGTAAAGTGCAAACTGACTAATTATATAGGGAATGGATTCCTTCACTTGCTTTCTTGTCATTGTCACGAGTCCATAGTGAAGATCATTCTGGCCACTATCCAATATGTAAAGGGCCTTTGAGAACTCCTCTGGTTTTGGGAGATTATTTGTGATTCGCGAGATATCAGCTAAAAAACCGGAAAAACAGACAAATGGTTCTTAGCAAAACGAACAACAAAAAGGATTTCGGAATTGATTCAAGTCTAAATCAGCTAACTAGTATAACCTTGGGTGTAAAGTTCCTCTATCCGGTCTTTAAGTTGTTCAAACTGCAGAAGCTGCACATCAAGAGAAAAAGGGTTGAAACCAGCCCCATATAACTTGGCATTCACTGGCTGCATAGTGGACCCGCTCGCTGCAAAGTTCGCTCCATGGCTGAAATTCGATCCTATAGAATCGAGGTACGCATTCACCAACGGCAATCCCAAACTCTCAGCTGTCAAAAAAAAAAAAAAAGGATAGAACATTGTTAATGCGACAGAAAGAGACCAGACAATCAGCATTGAAAATAACCACGTAAAAAAACACACAACCACCATATAGAAAAATAGTTTTAGCGCCTACTAAGAAAATGAGCCTCTCTACTCATATATCCAAATGAACCAACTTACTTGCCTATAAAATCAATGATGAGTCGCCCATCAGAATACCGACCAGAAGGTTTACCAAAGAATGTTTTGCCGTAAGGAGGAGGGAGGCCGCCGAATGCTGCTGAGACGGCGCCTGTGTCGGAGTTGGAGTCGCCAAAGTTATAAATAGCTGAAAATTGACAACCCCTTGATGGATAGAGAAAAGAAGCAACTATGGCGACTACAATTGTTGTTACCACTACACTCTTCTTTAGTGCCAAAGATGGCATTTCTAGTGGAGGCTTCTTCCTCTTCAACCTGTAATAATAAGCAAATGGTTTGTGAATTTGAATTTCTAAAGAGGGACTGACTTTATATAATGATTGGGCCATTGAGGGAAACGAAAAGGGAACGTTATTGTAAATAAATTCAAGGAGTGAAGTACTATTTCTGTGATTAATCAAAGTCTAATACCGGTTATGACACGTACTATTTTTTTGCTCGGGAGAAAATTAAAATTAAAATTAGATAAATAAACTCTTACCTCAGGAGTTTCATAGTTGCAGAGTAAGTTGAGTTTCAGGGATTTGATCTGAGAAGACGTTGACCAGGTTCCAGATACAAGTGTATACCTTTCATTTTGAATTTAGAATTTAAGTTTTATTATAGTAAAAAATTTTCATAAATAATCACATTTAATTTTTTTATTGTAATAAAAAATTCTCATATCTTAACTTAAATTAAAATTTTAAATTAACGAATTAAACAAACCCATTTAAAAAGCAATATAATAATAAAATGGCACAGTAGACCCAAACGAATCACACGTTGATATTTCATAATAATTAAATGAGAAAATAAGAAAAATAAACGCAAAAAGAGAAGACAATGAGAATGAGATTTAACGTGATTCAACAATATGTCTACATTCGACATACAAAGAAGAGGGAAAGAATTAGTTGGTTAAGAATGGGACTTCATATAAATAGACATTACAAGTATATTATCGGATAAATTACCTAATACTAAACTTAAAAGATTTCTTAATATGAAAATAAATATAAATAAAATGGGAGTACTAGTAAAAGTAACGATACGTGTAAACTATTAACTTTCTCTAATAATATTAAGATAGAATTTAATATCCAATAATTCAGGGCCTTATGGCACAAAAAAACTCTCTTTAGAAAAGAAAATAATAATGATTAAAACACAGGCAACTTTTGTTCATTAGTATACAATAAACTTAAAAGGATGAAATTTGACCAATTAAAACTGGACAATTAGTTCATTGTGAATAAAAATAAGAGTGCTAACTGCTAATGATTATGCTCCTGTTGGTTGTTTGGCTAATTAAATTTGGGGCCAAAAAGACCGCTTGCAATGCCGTGTAAGTTTTAAGGGTTTTTTTTTTTTTTTAGGCGAGAAAAGCCTCCTAGCCGACTTATATAATTCTTGCCTTGTAATGTATTCTTTCCATTTTCCTTTGTTTTTGGTATTTGGGAGACAGTCATGGATGCAATCAAACCATATAATTGCGCCCATCCGTTCCACAGGCACAAAGCAAGGGGTCAACGACTGTTTTTCTCTTGTCTAAAGGAAAAACATAAAGCACTGACAAAAATATATAATAAATAAATAAATGGAAAGGAAAGGAAAGGAACAAGAGAAGAGAGAAATCGAGCGCAATAATAAATAATACAAAAAAGATTGATAGACAAATAGAATTAAAAGTATGTGTGTAACACCCAGAACTTGTCGCAAAAAGAAACTAGGGAGTCCCAATGCTGTCCATCAGGAACCGAGTCCTAAAAAAACCAATACAGGCTCCTTGATTTAAACAGAAGGGAAAATAAAAAAAGGAAAAATTTTAAAAAAAAAAAAAAAGAAGAAGAAAAAGACAAAAAAGAAAATTCCAATTTTACATAGTTGCAAAAGATATAACAATAGATTTAACAGAGAGAGTCCTCAGCGCCAGTACTAAACAATTCTTGCTCGAATTCCCAAAGCAAAATGAAGAAAACAAAAAGGGTGAGAGAGGCAAAATATTATTCCGGTTTAGTCGTCAAAGTAGAAGATAACTCGATGGATATGGATCCACAGAAACATTCCTTCACCATCTATCCCTTGACCTGTCACATGAAAATTTTAAACTTTCTAAGATCAACAAGTACACATCAAACTATGAACTACCATAAGTAAAGACGAAAGCGAAAGCAAAACACGAGAAGAATGCCCACCTGTCCAAGTCTCTGCTACCCAGAAATCCTCTTTCCCTGCCACCTTGAAATCCTCTTCTATCATCAGCAGGCCTTGTCCAGAGATCCCCCGTGCCCCGTGATCGAGGCCTTTCCATAAACTCTATGCTTTTAGACTCTTCAAATGGTCCAGACTGAGAAGGCGGTCTCTCAAGATAGTTGCCACTCCTGCCTGCTCCAGACCCTGGCCTTTCAACAGCCTTCTGCCCAAATCGTACTTTGTCATCCAAATCGCGTATCAGTTTTTCAAATTCCCTTTCCCTCTGTAGTAGTGTATCACGTAGACTGGGCTGGTCTCCAGCAGACTCCTGCGAAGATTCCGTGGATTCTTTCTCCAGCTCCTTCTTCAGATACTCTATTTCCTCCTTCAACATCTTTTCTTCCTCGGTCTCAAGTCTGCATAATTTAGTAAGCAAGCCAACTAATATAGATGAAGAAAAAAGAAAATACATTGCTTGCATCACAAATGCATATCAACCAATTAAGTTATCATGCAAGGCTTCTAGAGCAAGATTGCCGCAGTAAAAGGATGCCAAAATACATCCAAGTTTAAGTTTATCAAGGCAACCAATATGGTTTCCTAAATGAACAGATGCTTTTTAGTACGACAGAGCAATGAAAGAGATACACCTAAATTGTTTGTATTTGGAGCTTATACGTTTCAGTGGGGTCTAACTGGAAACTTAGCTATATATATAAAAATAAAAAATAAAAAATAAAAATAAAAAGAAGCTCGCTTCAATTGTAAACGAAACCATTAAATCCTTGTTTTAAAGATTCTCTTCTTTTGAGAAAAGCTCTTATTTGCTAGTGAACTGGCATACTTCTTCTGCAAAGAGAAAAACTTTAAGGCTTAGTAGAAGTTAGGACACAAGTTCATGAATTTTTCAGAAAGGTCAAACTTTTACGGACTATATAAGATCTCAGCATAAGCACTCTAATTTTCAATCGACATACAACATCTTAAACATAAAGACAGAAGTTAAAGTTCTCCAATTATGAGCCATTATTAGATTACCATTCTAAACCTCAAAGCATAAACTCTGTCATTAACATTTGTAAATGTAAAGTAATCAAACTGCCATAAGAAACATCAATTCAACTGGCCTTCAAACATGAGAAAAACTTCAGCATATTAATGTCTTACCACCATAGCTACTAACATGAATTGGTAAATAATGAAGGCAGATGTACTAACATGCTAAGCATTCAAACACTTGCATTGTTGGTAACTTGGCATCTAGAAAAACCAGCACAACAAACGCAACATCATCATAGCTTGAAAAGTATGATTGACAAAAATCTATGAACTCAAAATAAATCATAATGCAGAACAAAACAGCCTATGAAATGACAAAGAAAAAGGATAAACAACGAATACAGACCTGTCGACGCCGCGATGCTCCAATTCGAGATCAATCTTCCGCCAATCCTTACCTTTCTCCTCCAGCAAAACCTCCCTAGGTTTGGCGTCCCCAAATGGATTCACTTTTGGCCTTGGCTTAACTACATTTTCTATTCCCTGCAGGCCAGGACCCTCGGACCGGCTCGATTGCGCACTCGATGGCCTGCTCGAATGCGCGCTCGTCGGCCTACTCGTTTTCTTAGCCTCAATTTCAGAGTCCAACTTCTTCCAATCCAAACCCTTCTCAGCCAAAACCTCCTCTCTGGGCCTCGCCGCCCCGAACGGACTCGGCTTGTTCGTTTTCACCACCGGCAGTTCGTTCGATCCGGCGTCACCCTTCGGCGGATCCAAAACCAATCTGGGCCTCTCCCTCTCGCTGTCGCGGAATCCGCCGCCTCTGCCCCAGCGATCGGGCTCCGAATCGCGGAACCCACCGGAACCAAATGTGGAGGATCGAGAAGGAAGAGGCTTTTTCGCAAACGCCCAATTGTCAACCTCGTCAGCCCTAGAGGCGACTCCTCCCACGGCCCCGCCGCCGCCGAGAGAGCCGTACCGATTCTGCCGGCCTCCCGAGTCGAACGCAGGAAGAGATTTCTTCTCAGCCTTCCAATTATCAACCTCGTCGGCCCTCGACGGCTGATCGAAATCCGAAACCCTAGGAGGCGGACCCCTGCGTTCGTCCTCGAATCCGCCGTAGGATCTCCGTCCTCCGCCTCCCCAGGACCCGTCGCCGTCCTCGCGGTCGCGCCCCCTGCCAGAAGGCAGCGTCCCGGACCTCCCGTACGACAAGAACCCGCCGCCGAGGCGACCGGACTGCATTTCCTCCGGAGTCCGCTCTTTCGGTCCCTTCGGGAGGCGGAGCATCTCGTCCTGCGTCAATCCCTTGTACCCGCCGGCGTCCCGCTCACCGCCGGCTCCGGCGCCGGTGTCAGCGTAGAACTCGGAGAGTGACATGGCCTTCTTCTTCTTCCCGGCCTTGGCGTTCACGGATTCCTTGAGGCTAGGGAAGCTCTGCGGCTGGTCCACCACCACCGCCGTCG